TTATCTATACAATTGATTTCATTTCCGTCGAAATATTGCATTGACATCGTACCACTGTAGCAGAACGTACGTTTTTATTGATCCATTATCTAATAGAAACAATAGAGCCGATATGAGGTCTCATCGTGTTATTATAAGTGCAATTTTAGTCACCGGACATTTAACATTAAGTAAAATTCCGAAAGTATCTTTTGCATCTGTTGAAGATATAAAAGAGTTAATATCTCATATCTGTATTCTCATGCGCGAAGTATGACTGCAGTAATTTTTAATTATAAAGTTAAAAAAACTCCATTTACTAACCATTTACTAACCATTATCAATTTTATCATACAGTCAACGTTTTAATCCATTGAATATTTACAAGTGATGAAATAAGTTTTTCTGATGATAAAAAATAACGAAAAAGCTATTTGCTTCGATGAAAACGTGGAATATTCTCCGCAAGCACTTACACTATTTAGATCAATAAAAATATTCTAGAATATTAATATTAACTGAAAAGAGGGAATGAGAGAGAGAGAGAGAGAGAGAGAGAGAGAGAGAGAAAGAGCGAGAGAGAAATAGAAAATATATTGCATTCAATGTAAATATTAAATTATAAATAAAAAATTATAAAAAAGAATACGGAAATAAAACAAATATGCATATTTGTTTCTCTTCATTCTCTCTTCTCTTTCCTGATATTGTTTCACATATTTCGCTTCTTCATGTCATATGCAACACTATAAATATGTATCTGTGGTAGCTCTCTTTTTTTTGTTTTAAAACATGTAACTTGAATGACAAGTCATAGGCGTGACGAGATAAATCTCATGGTGTCGTGTATTTCCGAAATTTTTTTCACGTTTCAACCGTACCCTCTCATTACACGGATAATCGAATTGGCGAAAAAAAGTACGATCGAGATTATACCAGTGGGCGTATTGCGAGCTCGATGATTGGAATATTTTCAATTACTTATGCACACAATGCAACGTTTTCAATTGTCACTTTGACCGAATGAACGTTCAGCCAATTACAGTGCAGACGCAATATTGAAATGACACGATCACTGGCACACGCGTCAAAAAGAAAATAGGAAAATAAGTACAATTGAAAATGCATAAATGGCTGTTATTAATGTAATGGTACATGTAACAACTTGCTGTCGTTTGATATAAGAGTTATTTTATAAAATTAATTATAATATAAAATAGATTTTTTAATGAAACTCTCTCTCGTTCAAAATTGTCAAGTTTTTATTTGTATAAAAATTATTGGCTACGTTTTAGAATCTAGAACATTATACGATCAATTTCGAATAAGTTTTTGCATCGCTGCTCTGTGATCAGCAATAATAATAAACATGCACAAGCACACGCAATTCAAAGCTAACCGAACTCTGTTTACAATTTGTATCTAGTGTAATTTATGTGAATCGTCCAACTGAAAACTGTGCCTTTGTAAATACGATTTGATTTTGTGTAATTAATATAATTACGCGCCTCCTTGGCGCCTCCATCTTATAGGTCTCACGTAACTTAATCGTTGTTTGCATTCGCTGTCTAATTACATCCCTTCGTAGAGAGAAGAAATCCACCAAATTTCAATTAATTTCGCAACTAATAATTATGAAAAGAATTCTAAAGCGATAGCAGAAACAAATTATCGTGATGATTGTTAGTTGGCTCCGAGCCGAATAATAATATATATGCTCTACATGATCTAATTTGTTCAGTAATTCTATCACATCAATCGTATTCCGTTAGCGGATATACCTGAGTAATTACGGAGTATGAAAACCAAAAAGTAAAAATTACAAGACTATTAAGAGGGGATAAGTGCGTTCAAAAATACATAAAAAGCAGGCCGAAAGGTTTTTCGCGAGATTCTCTCTCGCGTTGCACTCATTTTAATTGAATCAATTACACGCTCCATTATTTGAAGCGTCCGTGAATCGTCATCTGTTTCCAATTCTTTGGATCCGACGCACCGGGAAAAATACTTTATCACTATCCGCATGGTGTGACGCACGAGCTTCCTGCAATACATTTTTTCTTCTCATGTTTCCATTCAGAATCGCATATACAGGGTGAGTCATTTTAAGTGACAGATCCAAATATCTCCAAAAATACGCCAGATACAAAAAAATGGTTTAGACAAAAATTGTAGAGGGCAATGGGGGACATCTAACTGTGCCAACAGTTTTTACTTTCAGGTCGATTTTCAAGGTTATTTGAAGGTCATGATCATTTTTTTAAATAGAATTATATGAATTTTTTTACATAATATGATTCCTCTAATTATTCTGCATATAAAAGTATTAAGGTAGCGATATCAAAAAACCAATAGTTTACGAGATATTTTATATTTCATTGTGGCATATATTGATATAAAATATTAAATAATTCGTAAATTATTAATTTTTTGATAACCGTACCTTAATATATAAAAGTATTAAGGTACGCGGTTATCAAAAAATTAATAGTTTACGAATTATTTAATATTTTATATCAATATATGCCACAATGAAATATAAAATATCTCGTAAACTATTGGTTTTTTGATATCGCTACCTTAATACTTTTATATGCAGAATAATTAGAGGAATCATATTATGTAAAAAAATTCATATAATTCTATTTAAAAAAATGATCATGACCTTCAAATAACCTTGAAAATCGACCTGAAAGTAAAAACTGTTGGCACAGTTAGATGTCCCCCATTGCCCTCTACAATTTTTGTCTAAACCATTTTTTTGTATCTGGCGTATTTTTGGAGATATTTCGATCTGTCACTTAAAATGACTCACCCTGTAGATATTATTTCAAATTGTTCCGACGTCAGAGAGGCGATGTTAGGTATGTCCAACTTTGCTAAGGGAGAGCCGTTCGGGATGAAATAGAGCTTGTGAGGATTGCATATTTGTCACTCATGTAATACAGGTAAGTCGTGTAAAAAATATCTAGTAAAGGAATGGATATATACAACACATATACGTGTATATATAGTATATAACGGCATAACTTGATTTGCAAATTTTAATATTGTAACGTTGGTAAATAAAAACAGACTCTAATAAATAATACACTCTTGTTACGAAAAGTCTTTGTTACTAGTCTGCGTCATGCAACCGTAATTTCTTTTGAAAATATTTAAATTTGAGCACGTTCTGTATTTATTATCACGGATGTAAGTATCTTGTAATTCGTTTTTGAATTAACGCAAGAATAATTTCTACGTATGTCGTACATTCAGTGCTGTGTTTGCCAATGCTGAAAATGATCAAATTTTCCCTGAAAAAGCAATAACGTGAGAACCCGATATAAATGATATCCAGCGAGATCACACGTTGGCATTTGGCCTCATAACTACTTTCACGCATACGATAAAATATTTCTCATATCGAGGCATATTGATATCGCCCAAGTATGTTCTCAATACAGAAAACACCGGCGCAGCATCTCACTTTCGAGTCACGGGCAAATATAAACTTATAACTTGAAAATGACACTAAAATTAAATCTTTTCAATATACCTACTAAGTTGTTATAAAAATTATTTCTATCAAATTTTTACAACAATTGTCATGTATTTTTGTTAGCGTTTTCCAAAGTTTTTCACTTAATTTTTCGTTAAAAATTGACGGGAAAAAATATGTTAAGAAAAATTCATAAGTACAAAAAACGAAGCTTGTATACTTAACAGGTTTTTTAAAGGATTTCATTGAGAATGGAAACAACTTAATTGTGCTTTATTTCCTTCTTATCTCTCTCTTTTCTTCCGACGTAATTACGTGGTCATTAAACCGCCACAATTTTCTTAATGCAATCTAAAGAAGTAGATCGAAAGAAAGACAGTCTGAATAGGAAAATAGATCAGAGTAGATCGCGAGTAGAACTGCTTTAATATATTTAGTCGAGATTTAGCGGAAGTGAGCCTTAAGAATTGTAAAAAGAATTTTATTGGAGAGAATGAAATATATTTAACGTTAACGTAACGAAAATGTGGAGCGATATATATATATATATACACACAAGGTGTTTCTTAAATAGCGGACACTAATCATGTAGCGCTATTCCTAATTAAAAATTAAATCGAAAAGTCCTCTACAATTTTGTAATTTTTGCATGATTGACAAAATATTAATTTCTAAAGATTGCTGAATAAGCGCGTATCCGACTGCCCAATCATTAACTATTACGAAAGTTGTAAAATGATAAAGAACTTCTCAACTCAATTTTTAATCAGAAATAGCATTATGTGATTCGGCACAATTTAGAAATTAATATTTCGTCAATCACTGCGAAAATTTCAAAATAATAAAGGACTTTTCAACTCAATTTTTAATCAGGAATAGCGCTATATGATTAGTGTCCGCTATGTAAAAAACACCCTGTTTTTACATATATACATAACACACACACATATATATATATACATGTGCAGAAAAAAGAATAGTAGGAATAATTTAGAAAAATAAACGTTATTTATTCAAGGATAAATTAAGAATACTTTTTCTTGCGTTGCCTTTTTTATAATGTAAATAAACCAACATCCTTAATACACAGTATTATAATAAAATAATAAATTGAAATGTATTATTTCTTTGTATAGATACATTTCAGTTAAAATATGGATATATAAAATGCATAATTTTTAATGGCATAATTACGAAAATTTGTACTCAGTCTATTCTTTTATTATGAAATCTCTTGTAAATAATTTTTAAGCAATACATACCACATGAATTATAAAATATACAATCAGTTTCTTTAACTCATATACAAAAACAAACATTCTTTCTTTACAAACATTTCTTTTTTTAGTAAAAAGTATTTCTATCTAAATTACTAATTTTTAATATATTCTACAATATACAAAAAAGCAGAGCGTTCTTTGTATTTCAATACAAATATTTGTCCATAACAAATATTAATTAAAATATCAGTAATACAGCTTACAAAAATATTCATATATTTCAACTAAAAAATTGTTATAAGAAATATATCCTTTGAGCTTTTCCTATTCAATCATATGGAAAATGTATGCATTTTATATTTTCATTGTAATATATCAAAATTGTTAATGTTTTTTATGGAACACTATTATGTGTTTTATTTCATTCGGTGTAATACATGGAATCTAAAAAGGATTTTGTAATTTCGCTAACCACACTTCGGTCCGGAATACTTTGGCTCATTCCATACATTGCAAGCTGAAAAATTACACATAACGATAAATATTTTAAAACATAAATTTATTTAAAACTACAAATTGTAATTGTAATTTTGTGTTTACCTTTCCTTTCACTGGAACATTTCGGTCTTTCATAATTATTTCCAGTTCCGCATTAACATTCTCCAAAAATTGATCTGCTACTCCTGGCTCGGTATGCACATGTGTAACGCATATGTGTATACCGCAAGGGAATTGAAGTGGGTTCAAATTCCAACCTTTATTGATAAGAGCTTCCGATAATCTATAGATATGAAAATCATTGGAACCGATTGCAATAACGGATGTGGCTGGTGTGCCAAATATGAAAATGCCATCCATCTCCCTCAACCTATATTCAATTTTTAAGAGAATCGATATATGTATATCATATATAATATTTGTAATCAATTCTAGTATAAATGTATCTCTGAATGCATACTTTCGTTCGATATATCTTGTAGTTTCAATTATCTTTTTAGTCGATTCCACATATTCGTCAAATCCATAATGCAGTAATGTTGCCCAACAAGTAGCTATAATGCCTCCGGCTCGAGAACCACTTATTGTGGGACTTCCATATATGCCACCAGGCCAATCTGTCGTTATAGTATACTGATAGTGTCGGTATTCTTTGTTTCGATAAAGGATTAGCGAAGATCCTTTCGGAGCATAGGCATACTGAAAGAATTATATGTTCTACACATACTTCTCAAACAACATATACATTCTTATATATAGTATGGAAGAATACTTTATGAGTATCAGCTGATATACTGGTTACACCAGAAAGCTTGAAATCAAAGGGTGATAAAGGATAGCCAGCATCAGACATAAAACAGGCTAGAAAACCACCTAGACAGCCATCTACATGAACAGGAATATCATATTTTATGCCTACTTCAGATATTGCTTCGATATTATCCATCGTTCCATAGGGGAAATTAGGCGCAGATCCTACTAACTATCAGAAATAATTAAATTCGAATAAATTTGAGATAAAATTGCGCAGTTACAGTGTGCCATGGCTTACCATTATTGTATTTTTCGTAATTGACTTTTTCATAGTTTGAATGCAAACTGTAAAACTGTGCGAATGGACAGGCACGTAACATACTTTTATCTTCAAATATTGGGCAGCTTTGTCAAACGCTGCATGAGCGGTAACTGGAAGCACTATCTCTGGCTTTTTTATGCCTTTGACATCACGAGCATAATCTCTGTATGCTTTGCACGCTAATAAAATTGACTCTGTGCCACCCGAAGTCATCTAGAATGTTTATCGAAGAAATTTCACATGTTGCATCTTAATACTTAATTTGTATGATTTTATATAAATTATAAAAATAATAGAAAAGCTACAGTTCCACAAGAATCTTTATCTCCATTGAACAAATGGCAGGCTATCCGAACTACTTCTGCCTCCATTTTACAAATTCCAGGGAAAACATCAGGGTGTAGTGGATTAGTATAGGATGCAATTGCATATACATTCCCTATTAGCTCTGTAAGTTTACTGTTAGTTCTGTAAACTGCACCTGATACACGACCTCTTTTCCAATCATAGTCACCTAATAAAAAGAGTAAAAAAGTTAAATTAAAATATTGAAATCTTTCGTAAGATACATTGGCAACATGTTAATTAGTCTTACCAAGATAAATATATTGATTTACTAAACTTAATAGCTCATCATTTTTCAATCCATTTTTAGGAAGATGCACAATGAATGAAGTTTCTTTGAATCTGCGCAAAACATCATTTTCAAAGGTTTCATTAACTTTAGCTAGCTCTTCATTTATTTTGTCACGAATAGAAGGAATATAACGAGCTAGTCTAAACATCTGTTTCTTGCCACGTTCTAAAAGACCTGAACAACATGTATGATAAGAATAATTTTCTCTAGAAAAAATTAATCATAGTAAAATATAATTATATATCATGTCTGTGACTTATACTTATTGTTAGATATATATATATCACATTCAATGACTGCGTTCAGCAGAAAAAGCAGCTTTGCAATTGTACGATTCTTTAATATGATTGGTTTATACATTTAGATCCAGTAAGGAACTAAGGGTAAGACCAATCATATCAAAGAATTTTACAGTTGCGAGGCCACTTTGTCTGCTGACGCATATTATTGCAATACTTACTCTCATCCTGATAAATAAAAGTCCATAACCACACTGTAGCAAGAGTAGCTGTACTCGTCATAGCTGCTATTTGCCATGGCTCTTTATTTTGAAATATATGATTTATAGCCCTTGGTATAGTATCCACGTGGAAATACATATTTTTCTTAAAATATATCATTAAATATGATGTACGTTAAGGTGACATAAAATATCTTTGAACAAGCATCAACTGAAACGCTTATCACATCAAGACTGTAGGAACATGAAGACCTTGAACTTGGTTAAGGATCCGTGACTGATAATTGCTTAAATAATTTCATGCTCACCTGAATTTCAACAGGCTGTTAGCGATGCGGATAACTCGTAATTTCTGTTAAATGGAATGACTCAGCACTTTGTATGTATTTCCACTCCCGAGAAAACGCTATCTGAGTGCTCGCAACGATAACGTACTCCAGGCGCAAGATCTTTTGACACATTAACACCAAGCACACATACGAAAAGATCAGTGAGACTGCTGATCTCACGACTCACTGACTAACGACCGGTTCGCCGGGTTCACAACCGCGTTGAAACTTAAAAGACCTCTCACGCGCTAACGCCCTCTCGGCAAACAATACGCTACGATGAAGAGAGAGAGAGAGAAAGAGAGAGAAAGCGTTTTACGATTTTAGAACAAGCCATCCAAGAATCAACAGGTAAGAATACAATAAAATAATTACAATGATGAGAAGATAAAATACATAAATCATATTATGTGTATTATTAATTATATTGTGTATATTATTAATATTATATATAATTAATTATATTATGATTTAATACAATAAGAAAATTGTGAGAATATATTTTACACGGCGAGTATAGTTAAGACGAAAAGATAAAATAACAAAGTAAAAAAGATTACAATTTAAGATTTAAGGAGAGAAAAGAAACAACCTTCACAGAGAGGATCGAATGATTAAATAGGTGCAGAAGATTAAACAAAAAATTGAATGTTAATACAGAATGAAAAGGTCAATGATGAATCCATTATGAGATATTGCAAAATTGATATTTTGCGATATATCAAATAATCGAAATAAACAATCTTCGAAATATACAAGATGTTTGGTAATTCTATCGACAACGCTCGTGAGCAGGTATAAGCGGATTAAACTGAGCCCAAAAAGTTCTGTATTTTGTAATTTTAGCAATAATTAACGAGATATTAATTTTTAAAGATCGCTGTGTTTTCTTTCCACTAATTGATTCATCTCATTATTCTGTTCATAAAAATATTAAGGTATGTGGTTATCAAAAAATTAATAGTTTACGAATTATTTAATATTTTATGTCAATATGTGCCACAATGAAATATAAAATATCTCGTAAACTATTGGTTTTTTGATATCGCTACCTTAATACTTTTATATGCAGAATAATTAGAGGAATCATATTATGTAAAAAAATTCATATAATTCCATTTAAAAAAATGATCATGACCTTCAAATAACCTTGAAAATGAAGGTCAAGGTCATTGTCAAGGTCATAGTTCTATCAGCCTCTTCATATCCAACAATTTTTGTTTTAAACATTTTTTTATTTAATCGCGATGTTTCGAGTTATTTGGCTGTCTAAGTTAAAATGGGTCACCCTGTATATATACAATGTATTATATGTGCAATATATATAATAACTCGTCTAAAAAATGACATTACATGTTTGAGATAAAATTATTACTGGAATTATATTTTGAACTTATTAGGACTCCGTATAACAGATTCAAAATAGTCCAAAATGAGTCCTGAAAAGGTTCAAAATAAGTCCAAAAAAGGTCCAAAATAAACCCTGAAACTGTTCAAAATAAGTCCAGAAGAGGTCCAAAATAAATCCTGAAAATGTCCAAAATAAATCCGATAACGGATATTTTATAAACATCCGAAGGATCTTCTTTGGATCAAAAAAAGGATGTCCGATGTCCAAAAATGGACGTTTGTTGAACATCCATTAGACGTCCTTGTGCTATTTGGGTTGTTGAAAACCGATTTTGTAAAGTATATTCTGTGTAAATTTTATTAACAGAATAGAATCTGCGGAAATAAAATAGAATCTATATACTAGTAAAATATGAGAGCGAATTGACTGTAGAAATTAATTGTAAGTAAAGTCTCGCATTTTGTAACTGTATTTAAATGGTACATTAACTCTATTTAAATATAGTTTCGCTGTTCAATTTTCGCTGGAAATTTCTTGCCAGATTACATTAGCAGATTTGCTAGCTCAATTCATTTTTACTCACTGCAACTATCTTTGATTGTAATCAAAAGCGAGAAAAATGTATTTAAAAGATTCTTGTTAAAATGTATTTTTTTACATAAAAATGACATTTACAATCGATAGAATAGATTTATAAAATATACTAAAAAATCTTCTTGTGTATTCCGATAATCAATAAACAACTATATAATTTAAAATTAAATTATGTCTAATTAAAAAATCAAATAGCTATATGATAGCTAGCCCAATTGAGAGAGAGAGAGAGAGAGAGAGAAACCATATGGTAAATCGATAAATGAGAATCGCAATAAACAAGTGCCATTTACCGTTGAAAATATGAAAAGAAGATGACTTTTTGAGGTGATGACGTATCTTACATAATAAAAATTTGACGTTTCGGATTTCGCATCACGATATCTTCGTTCGTAGGACACATAGAGGTAAAATAAACATTTATTATATAATTCGGATCCAAGCTGTTGATTGAGTTCATATTTAGAAATCGATCGGTTCAGCCTTTATTAAAAAACCGATAATCTCGGATGCTCGCAACTCGTTGACTCGCGTAAAGACACTGGGCGGTCTCGCGCTGCGCGTTCACTTGGCGCGAGACACTACCGTGTCTCTTGATAGAATTGTTAATTTTTCGTTACTTAACACGTGGAAAGTAAGATCGGATTAAAGATGATAAATTACGTATGATTGAAGGTTTGCTATAAGTAAATAATTATTAAATTAATCGTCAATTAAGTTAAAATCAAAGTTCAGTCGTGATAAAATTCGATTGCCAAGAAATGAATATGCACGTTCGCATTTACGCGTGGTAATTTTCTTCTTTATTTACAAATAGTCGATAATCGTATAATGTACTCAGTAACAAAATTACATTGCACACATACAGAATTATCGTTAGCACTAAGGCAAGAACTGAATTAACAATAGGTATCGCGTTCGTACGAGAGAACTCGTCCCAATCGGACACAGTGTGTGGAATCGTCTTAAGATATATTCAGTCGTGAAATTTACATGACAGCGTTCTTCCTCTTTCTTTCTTTAAGCATAATTTTAACGCTACATCGATAAAGGAGAGAAATGAATCCAACGTAAAAGGAGGAGAAAATTCAACATATCTGGATTAACTAGAGGAGCTAGGCCGAACAGTTTGGAGCTCAGTCACGTGTTAAGTGTCTGCCCAGCAGGGAGTGAATGTGACAAATGGAATTGGGTCGATTTCGCGCAAATCCCGAATTTCTTTTCTTTTTATTATAACTTGAGATAGAAACCCTATCTCAGAGTCTGGTCACGAACGATTTTGTCAAAATCCTACGAGAGAGAAAGGTGTATATATATATAAGTTTTTCTCCCTATATATATATATATATATACACAACTACTTAATCTAACTTAACTGTCTTACTCTATAATTTTAATTAAAGTTATAAAGTAAAATAGTATATGTTAGAATGAGATAGTATATATACAAAGAGAAATTAATATCTTTTTTTTCTTTTTCGTATTTTGACAAAATCACTCATAATCAGATTCTGTATAGAGTTTCTAACTTGAGGAAATATAGTGCCGCTTAAACGTGGAGTACGCGCAAAAATAACGACAAGTCCTCCGGACCGAGACGAGAGATATGGGCTGTTACATCATTGTTCGCGTCGCTGGAACTCGAATGTTAATCACTGCGCGTTAAATAGGCGGTTTCACGTAAAATGCAAATGTAGGCACTCTACCGACGTTGAAAGCGTCGCGCGATACTATATGGTGCACTAAAAGTCCCTCGGGAATTTACAAAAAGAATTACACGTAATCTCATCTCGCTTTATGCGTGCGGACAATCACAGCGTCGATTATTTGACTAGAAAAACGTCCTATTGTAAGGCGAATCCAGACTAAGAAAGGAATTGGAACTGGAACGAGCGTGAAGGAACGAATTTATTTGGATGATACCGCGAAGAAGTCCGAATCGACGGATGTGTTCTTTTATCGGATCATAAGAAAAGTTTTCTTTATTACAATCGTCGCAAATATTTCTTCACGATCGTTTGTCATGCCAGTTCGGTCTGGAACCACCTTTTATATGATGTTCAAATTTACGCGAAACACGTATTTTTATGCGAATTCGATCATACGTTTCGAATAACCACATACGCAATAATTCATGACATTCTACGATACTTCACTCGTGATTACTTCAATTCGCATAAAACTGCTCATACATGTTCGAGAAGCAGCTCCGCTCGAAGAAGCCTCGATATGAATGTCGATTATTAGCGTGATTCAAGTCCGTTTTACTCGGCTGAGGATGCAACATTCTCGCGCAACGCAAACGAAATATATTTCGATATTGGATGGTGAAATAAGTTGTTAATCGAAATGTGGTGTAACGCGGAAAATGGTTCGGAATTATCTTCCAGTCGCATGCGCATACCAATTTCTTTTTCCCGGTTGCAAGATCGCTTTTCGTCCCAATCAGGGATAATTAGTGATCAATGACACCTCCTTGTTTTTTTGAGAAAAAAATATCTCTATATATAGTATACCTGTTTGTTACGTCATTTGTATTTAAAATTGTAATCAGATGAAGATAAATTTTTTCCAGCTGATACATTGCGTGCGCTCGCGAATGAAAGAGAAATCTGCGCTTGGAATTCAAAATCCTTCGTTCTGTTGCTCTATATGAAATGCTCGCGAACCCGTGCTGGTCGACTTGGCACTCCATTTATAACATCGGAAAAAAATCACGCGATTTCCAAAAGTCTCATCATTCTGATAGATCTACATCTTAACGTGCCTGATTAAATGTCACCTGCGTCGTTGCACGAGCTCGCGATTTGTGTTCGCATTTACATTAAAATAGTCCTCGATGTTTATGATTACTTGCTGCGACTTACGAACAGGAGTTAAAGATAATAGTAAGGACGACTAGAAAAAACGGATTAATCGTACGATCTACCGTTCTGTACTTCGACGATTAGTTGCGAATACCTGGCGAGAATAGTTCTACAAAAGGCTGTCATTATAATGTCACTCGTGAGAGTGGGGCGTCACGAACACGAAGGTACTGCGAATTCAAGACGTGCAGTGTAAAACAGAGTTGATAATTCGATAATGAAATATCAGAATATCCTAATATTTAGAAATTACATCAATGTTACAATTTCTTACTCAATAATATAACTGTTACAACGTGTGTTATATTTAAACATTTTTTTTTTTAAAGACCGTGCTATATGAGAAACACAATTAATAATAGAAATTAAAATGCCTTTAACGGTCGAAGCT